CTGTGAGTGGGTGAGTGTGTGAGTGTGTGTGAGAGTGGGTGAGTGTCTGTGAGTGGGTGAGTGTGTGTGAGTGAGAGTGTGTGAGTGTTTGTATGTGAGTGTTAGTGTGAGTGACACACACAGGCTCCCCACCGTGTCTTGGATGAAGGGTGTTTGTTTAGAAAGCGATCTGAGTTTGTGCAAAGTCTCGAAAGTGGCTGTGCAACTTGTCAGCTGTCATCAGCTTAGCTTGAACTGCGTGCATGTGTGTGTATGTATATTTATATGTCTGTGTGTGTGTGTGTGTGTGTGTGTGTATGTGTGTGTGTCCAGTGCCTTGGGACATCCTCCCGACGTGAAAGGTGCTCTACAAACGTAATTTGTTGTTGTGGTTGGTGTGTGACATGGGGGTGGTGGTGGGGGGGGGGGTTAGCGTACATGTACACGCACACAGGAGAGCGTGTGGGGAAGAATTATTCCCCTTCACAAATACGAGAGGCGATATGTGTTTTGCTTGGCAAGCAATCGGGATGTGTTCATTTCCCATCGTGGTTGGGGACTCAGTGACTTTGTTCCCTCCAGCACAAGCTCAACATCAGCGAAACAGACCCACTACTCCCCCTCACGCCCCCCGCCCCCCCCCCCCACCCCACCACCACCCCCCACCCCCTCTCCCCAGCGCCTGTAGGTATTGTGATCTCAGAATGTAATGTGGGGCCACAGCAGGCAAGCAGCAAACTGAACGCTGAAGTTTCTCTTGCGGGGCTGGAAGCCGGAGCCACCTCTCCAGCCCGGGAGTGAGTGACTGACCAACCTTTCTAACAGTAGATGTCAGAGATAGTGAGAGCACGCCAACACACCCAGATTGAACACACATGTACGCAGACACAGATAAAACACGCAACACAACACACACACACACACACACACGTATACTCAGACACAGATAAAACACGCAACACAACACACACACACACACACGTATACTCAGACACAGATAAAACGCACACAACACACACAGATAAGACACACACAAACACAGATAAGACACACACACATACAGATAAGACACACACAGACACCTCTCCAAAACACTGTCCCACCAGTCTCCTATCACCCATTTCTCAATCAAATGAGTTGGTGGCAGCATTACAATAACAACGCAAATCCTAGTCATTTATTTTCCCATCCAAACAGCAACAACTAAAAATAAATCAATTGTAAAATGACCATTTGTCCTGACCCATTTCCTGCCTCCGTGGGCAATCCATTAAAAGCTCGCTGGAGAGAGAGAGCGAGAGAGAGAGAGTAGCCTGAGAACAGCTGCCCAACCTCCTTTCAGGACTAAAACTAATCCGTCGACCTCCTTTGCATTTGATACAGCGCATTTCACGTTCGGGAGGATGCCTCAAAGCGCTTCGCAGGGTTTTACTGTCACGTGTAGCGATGCGTATTTTAGAGGCCAACTTCCCTGTATGAGGAGCTCTGTATAAATACAAGTTGCTGTCGTTAACGTGAGGGGCAGAGTTGAGTGCGGGAGCTTTGCCTGAGTGGGTCAGAGGTGTTGTGAGCATCGGAGGGGAAATAACCCAATTCTAATCACATCGGTTCAGGAAGAGAAGCAGAGAGACAACTGCTGTGTGCGTGTGTGTGGTTCAACCCACTGTTGTTTCAATCTTACACTGTGCGCACAGAACCTTGCCAGATAATTCTGGTATCGGGATTCTCAGGTGGGGTTTAATTAGACTTCAGTTGATTTATGGTAAATATGTCTGTCCTGACTTTGTAATGTATCTGTTGACTTGGGTTGCGGAAAAAAAAAGCACCTTATCTGATCTTGTTGAACATGACAACAATAACGTGCGTTTATATAGCGCCCTTCACACGGGGCAGCTTAACAGTGGCGGAGCCTGACTGCAAGCCGGGAGAGGGTGACCGTCTTCAGCCGTGATCCAAAAACATAAGCAACGACTCTGAACATGCACTCGGATGTGTGTGTGTGCGTGTGTGTGTTTTTGTGTGTGCGTGGGTGTTTGTGTGTGTGTGCATGAGTGTGCGTGCGTGTGTGTGTTTGTGTGTATGTGTGTGTTTGCGTGGGTGTTTGTGTGTGTGCATGAGTGTGCATGTGTGTGTGCGTGCGTGTGCGGGTTTGTGTGTGCACGCGGGTGTTTGTGTGTGTGTGCGTGTGCATGTGTGTGTGTGCGTGTGTGAGCGTGTGTGTGTCTGTGTGTGTGTGTGGCGCGTGGACAACAACAGGAATTTTTATGCTGCTTGAATAGTGTGGATGGAACCAAGGGCACAATCCAATCCATGGCTATCTTGCTGTGCTGTGAAACATTCAGCTCCAATAATTCCACTGAGCAACTGATTGTGGGCAAGGCGGTTCTTTTTTGTACAACTGCCATGGAAACTAATCGAAACGAGGAAGGTGGTGCTTCTTTTTTGTACACTCTCTTCTTTCTGTACGCGCGAGTGTTTACAATGACTGGAACTGGGCTAAAACTGTGCTGAATGTCTCTCTCTCTCTCTGTCTCTCTCTATCAATAATTGGGAAACCTGGGTGAAGGGCCAAGGCCCACAGTCTGAAGAGATAAGAGAGAGAGAAAGAGAGAGGAGAGAGAGCACGAGATAAATGGAAAGGCAGCGCTAGGTGACGCCATCCTCTTTGGATTCCTGCAAAACTGGGGTCGAAGGGAGAGACGAAGGAATTTTCCACACGTCCTGGGGTCTTTGACAGTATCGACGACAGCGATAACCTTTTGCGTTAACAACTCACTCATTGTAGAATTTCCACTTTCACAGCACCGCCCGCCTTTCACTTTGGGAGGACACCTCAAAGTGCTGGGCGCTGGCAGCTGGGTCAGGGGGTGAGGGAAGGGAGGTGGGGGGGTGGGGGTGGGGGGAAAAGAGGGGAAATGTGATCGAAAGCGTGGTCAAGGGGGTACGTTTGAGCCTTGAACAGAGAGAGGGAGCGATGAGGCACGAGTGATGACTGAATGCCCATAGACTCTGGTGGGATGAATAGAGTGGGTAGGGAGGGGTGACACGAAGCAGTCCAGGGTTTGCTGGGCAAAGCGGGTATTTACGGCTGTTATGGCTGAAGGAGTCGCAGGGATAGGGTGGGGACCAAACCGTGGAGAGATTTAAACGCGTCTCGGAGCGAGCGCTTCATGCCCACGCTGACTGAATGCCCGGGAGCAGAGGCTGAGAGCGTGAGGCGCTGGCAAACAGAAACTGCAAACGTGGCACAAAGGCTAAAAGACTCCTCCGCAGAGGTCGCCTTCCGCTTTGCCGTGGGAGTAAAAAATAAATAAACCCCGGCCGCGTTCGCTTCCGAAACAAAACGGAACTGGGCACGGCGGGCGGTAACTACTGCGACACCCGCCTGAGACCATCCAACATTACAGACAGGGACCACGGTTTCTCACCCCAGCTACCACACGTCCTGACAACGCAGTGCCCCCCCACACTTTGTTGTCAGCTGGGCACTGCTGATGATAAAACCAGTCAGCCCGGCTTGTCAGCAGGACGTGCGAGGCGAGGATTTCTTACCGCTCGGCTCAAGGGATTGGGTTGTCCTAGCTGGTCCCTACACTCGATGCCAAGCCGTGGTTTTTTTTTTGCTGGTCCAACGCACTCTCTGGGACCAACAACCCCGTGAAGCCAAAGCCTGAATTAGGTGGACAGGAAGTGTCCCACCGGTAAGAGAGAGAGATCGCTCATTGCATTCTAGACACAGGGAAATTTCTGTGTGTGGGTGGGTAACATTCTGTTTGGGTTTGGACGCCTAGCACAGCGATGGGGTTTTTCGGGCTAACCAAAAAAAAAAGTTCCAATGACATATTACCTCAAGGACTTTCAGGTAGGAGGACGTCCCAAGGTGCTTGTGATAATAATAATCCTCGCATTCGATACAGCGCCTCATCACGCCTTCGAGACGTCTCAAAGCGCTTCACAGGATATACTGTAAAGTGAATTGACTGTGTATTTTGTGGGCGAAAGGCGGCAGCTGATTGCGCCCAGCGACGTCCCGCAAACAGTCGTGGATTGAGTGACCGCATTTTTTTTGGGGGGTTATTACCCCCGGAAAAGCGATCCGCCAGTCGACTAACAACCGTTAACATAATGCTGTGCCGTGGCAGGTTAAGAACACCCACCACTCACCCAAAAAGTTAGAGAGAGAGAGAGAGAGAGACATTGAACTCGTTCCTTCCACAGACATACCCTGTGCTAATCATTACCCAGTGAATCCCTGGACTTTAAACTGTCCCACGAACCATTACACCGCAGTATTTTGCGCCGTTTCGTTCCGATGTCATTTGCACGTCATGCTGAGACCACAACCGTTCAACAGCTATTATACATTAACCCGACAATCAGACGTGGGCTGTCAATGAGGTACCGTCAGCCTGAACCCCCCCTCCCCCCCACCCCCTCCGATGAGACGTTAAACACCGTCTGTCTGTTCAGGTGGATGATAAAGATCCCGTAGCACTATTGCTTTCAAAAAGAGAAGGGAGTATCTCTCTCTCCCAGTGTCCTGGCTAACAATCCCCCCGCGCCCCACATCCCCCCCCCCAATAAAATCGGTCACTCGCTCCACGACTGTTTGTGGGACGCTGCTGTGTCCAATTGGCTGCCGCGTTTCCCCACAAAATACACAGTCACTACGCTTGACCCTATATCCTATGTCAGAGCCCTTGACAGGATATATTGGATATAACAGCAGTAATAATCCTTGATATAATACAGCGCTTTATCACGTCGAGACGTCTCGAAGCTCTTCACAGGATATACTGCCAGGTGAATTGACTGTGTATTTTGGGGGCGAAACACGGCAGCCGATTGCTCACACGGCAGTGTCCAGACTGAAAAATACCTCGAAAAGTTCATTCTCAAGTGCCTTTTAAGCTGGTTTCAACCTCATCCTCTGCAACCCTCGTCCCCACACCTCCTCCCAGCACAACCCCACCCCCCCCCACCGCAGTCCTCTTAATGGTGATTGATTCTCATGTCCGCAGGAGAGCTGGTGAAGTGATCGTTGCGAGGAGACCACTATGTGGAGCTGTTCCGACGCGGAGGATCACAGCTCGGAGACTCAGCTGTGCCTCGACCTGCGGCTGGTGCTCTCCGTCCTCTCCATCACCTACCTGGTCATCTGCTTCCCCTTCAGCGTGTGTTACAACAGCCTGCTGGTGCTGGTCAACCTGTACAACAAGGCCTCCATGACCATGCCTGACGTGTACTTTGTGAACATGGCGGTGGCCGGGCTGGTGCTCAGCGCCGTGGCCTTGGTGCAGCTCCTGGGGCCGGACAACCCTCAGTGGACCATCTGGGACTTCAACCAGGAGGTGTACATCACGTTGCTCATCCTGTTCAACATCTCCGCCCTGGTCAGTATGTACTCCACCACCCTGCTCAGCCTGGACTACTACATCGAGCAGGCCCTGCCCAGGACCTACATGTCCAGCGTGTACAACACCAAGCACATCTGCGGCTTCATCTGGGGCGGTGCCGTGCTGACCAGCTTCTCCTCCCTGCTCCTGTACGTGTGCAGCCGGGTGCCCAAGGTGGTCGAGTGTTCCAGGATCCAGAACAAGGAGGTGGCCGACGCCATCATGGTCTTCATCGGTTTCCTGGTGCCGGCCTTGGCCGTTCTCTACGCCATGGTGCTCATCCTCCGCGTTCGCCGCCAGCCCACCCCGCTGGACCAGGACTCGGCCAGGCTGGACCCTTCGGCCTACCGGCTGTTGTTGGGGGCCGTGTGCGCCCATTTCGCCCTCTGGACGCCATACTACATGATGCTGCTGGTCCACGTGGCCTCCCAGTCGCTGTGGCCGGTCACGGCGGCCCAGTTCAGGGCCTACCACTTGGCCAAGGGCCTGGCTAAGCTGCTGGCCTACTCCTGCAGCTTTGTGGTGCCTCTGCTCTACACCTACACCCACAGGGACTTCACCGACAAGCTGCGGAGGTTGGTCAGGAGGCTGAGCTGCAGGACTAAAGGGTGCCCTGAGCAGCACTCGGGGTCTAGCAACCATTTCTCCTTCGTGAGCTGAGCCGCGGTAGGGAAGGGGGTGGGTGTGGGGGGGCGGCGGGGGATGTCAGGGGGTCGAGTGGGGAAGGGGGGGCGTTTGTTGAGGTACCTACTGATCTCAGGCCTGAGGCAAGGGGCAAAGCTCCCCTCCCCGCCCTCATGCCCCAAAATGTACAGAGATTGCGTTGTGTTCTGCGCTGCTGCTGCTGTGCAGGACCAGAAGTTGGGAGACGCACAGAGCAGACGCTCTCCTTTATCATTAGCGGGTTTAATCACTGCTGCTCGCAATACTCTTCTGTTTTGCTTGTTTTTGCCCCTTCCTTTCCCTCTCCCTCTCCCCTCCCAGCACTCTGTATCGTCACTTTGTTTTGGGTCGGCCGGGTGTCTGACACACGCGGAAACCCATCACCGTCCTTCACCAAGCTGAGAATTCCATATGCACGGAAATCCCAGAGCTAGATTGTTGGAATGGAATACTCTCTCTCTCTCTCTCCCTCTCTCCCGAGGGAGATTCATCCTGCTTCCCTAATTCCAGAGAGTATTAGGTACAGGTTGGCAAGAGCCAAGGCTTGGGGACACCAGGGTTTCGGGCTGGAATGGACCATCGGTCCATCTGGTCTTCACTTGCACCTTTCCAATTGACTTCCTCCCTTGCATCTCGCTCTCTCGCGTTCTCTCTCACACCACCCAACAACCCTGAGTCCCCTTCAATCCTAGACACTCAATTCTCTGGTGGGGGAAAGATGGATGGGAGGAAGGGAGGTGATGGCGGTGGGGGCAAACCTTCCTGTAACCTTGGACAAGTAACCATTCATCACGTGTGTAAGTCCAGCACAGAGGCAGATCCCAAGTGAGTGAGAGGAGAAGATGGGGCATCAGTTCCTCTCGTTTCCCCCTTCCCCTCCCAAGCTACGTCAATGGTCATGGCTTCCTGTGTGGAGTCTCTGTGGGCTGTAGCCCTCAGTACAGATCAGGGGGTGGGTAATGTCCTGTTTCGTTTCGAACGGGCGACACAAGTCTTTTCACAACTAAACGTCACACGTTTGTAGCTATTATAATCACCACCATTCCTAGCCCAAAACGTATAGTTCTATATATTATATATTATATGTAAAAAAAATTAATGCTATTTATTTTTTATTGCTTGGCAAATGGAAACGACGTGCTATAGGGTTATAACGGGGCAAGCCTGGCTTTATTGAAGGTGTTCAGTTGATTCCCTTACCCACAAACTGCAGCCAGTGGTGAAAGGGCAGAGATGCACTGTCCAGCTCAGAGAGCACACACAGAAAGCACACGCACAGAGAGCACGTGTAGAGAGCACACACAGAGAGAACACGCAGAGAGAACACGCACAAAGAGAACACGCAGAGAGCACACATAGAGAGCACAGACAGAGAGCACACAGAGAGAACACGCAGAGAGCACACACAGAGAGAACACGCAGAGAGCACACAGAGAGAACACGCAGAGAGAACACGCAGAGAGCACACACAGAAAGAACACGCACAGAGAGCACACGCAGAGAAAGCAGCAGTTGGGTGAAGACCTGGAGGAAGCCACCCGCCCTCCGGGCCCCTATCCCACCACCATCAACCTTACTCAGAGGGGTTGGCACAAGTCGGGAGGAATCATAGAAATTTTCAGCGCAGAAGGAGGCCATTCAGCCCATCGACTCCGCTCTGGCTTTCAACCCAACCGATTGGTTCAGGCCTTTACCTTTCGTATACCTGTCTAAGGGAGGGGGTGGAAATGGGACACAGCAATGTTAAACCACCTCTTTCTATTCCAAGTTGTACGGACTTGAGAGCACTTTACAATCCACCTCCGGCTTAGAAATAGTGGGAAATATCTCCCATTCTTTGCTCACACACACACGCTCACACACACACACACACGCTCACACACACACACACGCTCACTCACACACACACACACTCAAGCACACGCTCACTCACACACACACACACTCACACACATGCGCTCTCACACACACACACACACACACGCTCACACGCACGCTCACACACACACACACGCTCACTCACTCACACACGCTCACTCACACACACACACACTCACACACATGCGCTCTCACACACACACACACGCTCACACACACGCTCACACGCACGCTCACACACACACGCACGCTCACACACACGCGCTCACACACACACACACGCTCACTCACACACGCTCACTCACACACACACTCACACACACGCTCACGCACACACACGCACACTCACACACATGCGCTCTCTCACACACACACGCTCACACACACACACGCTCACACGCACGCTCACATACACACACGCTCACTCACACACACACTCACACGCACGCTCACACACCACTCACACACACACACGCTCACACACACACACAGACAACACACAGTTGAAAATAAATAGCTGGATCACACTGGAGAGAGAGACAGACAGAGAGAGAGAGACACTCAGCCACAAGTCGCACACGATGCTCTTACACAGAACACAGAGCCAGGCTGGGACATTGCAAAGCTCCACTCAGCAAACATACATAGCGAGGGAGTTCGCTTGGGAAACTCTTTGAAGAGAGAAGCCAATAGCAAATTGCCTTTGGAAACGCCAGTGCATTTCTGTTCACTGTTTCTCTTGTTTCAGTCATTGAGACAATAAGTCACCTCTGGCCCCAAATCAATAACCGTCGACTGACAAACGCGCCAGAACATCGATGGCAAGAGGCCAACCGGTCAATACGTTGCGATCTGTGCTCTTTTTGTAACTCCACGTGTGAATTTGTACCCACCTTTCTCAGCACCTTCCAACCTCGCTCCGTGATATTTGAGATGAGTATTATTCCCGCACTGTGAAGGAATTTTCTGAGGTACATCAGTCAACTCGTTGGGGGTGGGGTGGGGTGGGGTGGGGGGTGGGGAGGGACGGAGGGAGGGAAGGAAGGGGCATTTCATTTAGCACTTTGAGCCTCAAGAATCTGTACCTTATGGTCTAACCTTTAATCAATCAAAGATTTATATTTTTACTTACCAAAGTCGTGTGTGCACAATTCTTTTTGTATGTTCGAAGAGTACCGTATATTCCATTATAAATAATTTCAAGGCACGAAGCAAACTGGTTACTCGACAACAACACCGCCTTACATTCACACAGTCCCCCCAACCCCCGCCCCCCCCCCCCACCCCTCCCCAACGGCAGGCTAGCGTTCCAGAGCGCTTGACAGTGGCAGGGGGAGGTGATGACTGTAAGCATGGTCGAAGAGGAAGGTCTTCGGGTGCGACCCGAAGGTGGGGAAGGATGCGGGCAAGGCGGAGGGATAGAGTGTTCAGAGTTTCTAGGCTTAGCGCGGCTACCGATGCTTGAACTTCAAGTTGGGGGGTGAGGTGTTGGGGTGGGGGGAAAGAGTGTATCTCCTGCCGTTAAGTAATTGGCAGTAATTGGCCCGTTTTCCGGGAAACCAAAAGTCAGCTGTGATCTGCCGCTGGTGTGACCCAAATAAGCTTGATGCCTCCTTTCGCTGGTACAGTTTCCCTTCCCGCTCCCTCCGCCCTTACCGCCCCCACGGGACGTCCCAATGCGCACTCGTGCACACCCACTTGCAACTTTTCCAATTCTCTGTAAGTTTATTATTTGCGGACGGACAGATGGGCAGATAGAGCATTTGAAGGACAGAGGCTTGAAGGGTGGTGCGGGTGGGGGGGGGTGCGGGGTAAAGAGAGGTGGGGGATAAGCGGGACGATGGGATCAAATGAACCCACTTGCTTGGTGCGGGCTCGATGGGCCAAACTCCTTCTGTGCTGCTTCTGAGTGCGGCATTAAGGATCATTTCACTTCTCTCCTCCAACAACCTTGTGCCCCACCCCCCGCAACAAGGCCGCGCCTGAAGGCTGAGCATGTCAAGTTGGAAAGGAACAAGGACAAAGATAGATATCCTTTTAGTGGTGGGGGAGAGGAGGGGGGGGAGGGGATGGAAGCGAAGACAGAGCTCTGTTCCTCGCATCTAAATCGATTTGCTTTTCCCGTCGTCGTTTCTGGGAAAGCCACACGTCTCTGAGGCGGTTATCAGGTTGGCTGCATGGCTGAGCAACTGTTTCTGATATTCATCTGATACGGGACCTGCCTTATCTCATGGTCGAAAAGAAAAGGAGAACCACGGACTGAGAGAGAGGCGGATTATCTAAGGGATAACAATCTGACGTCTGATACAACTTCCTGGACTAGCATCTCTCTGCTTCAAAACACACGTCTCTCCTCTTCCACCCCCCCCCCACCACCACGACCAAGAGAGAGGGGGAAAAAAAATTAGGGCGGGGGGGGGGTGCGATTTCTCAGCCCACGACCCACTCTCAACAGAGATGGTGGAAGCAAAACAGTTGCCTGAAGATAGTGTGGAAGATAATGGGGTTGGAGGGGGAGAGACGAGAGCCATCAGCATTCCTCAAAGCCTACTTTAACAGAGACTTGAGCTTCGCTCTTATTTGCTAAACAACAACTTGCACACGTGTACAGCGTCCCTTCACGTAGAGCCGCGGCTCGGAGCGCTTGACAGGAGCAGGGGGCGCGGGTGGCCGTAGTGACTGCGTTCAAAGAGGTAGGATTTGAAGGTGACCGATAGGGGCAGGGGGTGCATGAGACGGAGTGGTAGAGGAAGAGAGGGCGGGAGATTATCTCTCGGATAATCATCTCACATAAGAGACAATTTCTTGCGCTGGCATCTCTCTGTTTACGGCACACAGACGGACGGATGTGATGCCCAGCGAGCCCAGAGTTAACACACGACAACAATTAGAATGATAATAAGTGTCCTAGATAGAACTAGATAAGAAGTGTCCTTACGGAGTTCTGTAGCATAGTGGTTAGAGCAAGCGAGAGGACCTGGGTCAAATTTCTAGGTGGTGGTGAAATGTTAGGCAAGTTTCGTTATTCCACACTCCTCTGTTTACCTACTGCGTTTCGCCCACAATTATATACAGTCAATTCACTTTACAGTATATCCTGTGAAGCGCTTTGAGACGTCT